ATCTAAACTGTATAATCTAATTTATTTGATGTCTAAAAGCTCGAACAAACAACCAATTACCTAAAATGTAATAATGTTAATGATGCTTAAAAACTTGAACAAACAACTAATTACCTCAAACAGTAATAGCAACAATTAAAAACTCTAACAAACAACTAATAACCTAAAACAGTAATAGCAATAATTGATGCTTAAAAACTCAAACACAAACAACTAATTACCAGAACAGTTGTGCATTAATCATAAATGATAAACAAAAGCAAGGGGTTTGTCAAATTTACCGACCTGATCAACCAAACTAAAATTATTGGCTAAGTTCAGTTATTGTTTCTAATCTTTATTGGGTAATTCATCTATTGTCCCATATCGGTTTTTGCTTCGATTATAGTATCTCGTGATTCTCTAATTACAAAATTATAATATCGAGTTTAATTTTGTTTCGATAAATTAATTACTTATAGTTGGTGATTATATGATTTTTAAATATATAAAGCAACAAATTTTTTCAAAAAATCGTGAAATTGTACAATCAATAAATCACTTCAATCGCTCAATTGCCTTTTCTTTATCCAATTGCTTTTCTTTATCCAATCGCTTTTCTTTATCCAATCGCTTTTCTTTATCTAACTGCTTTTCTTTATTCAATCGTTTTTCTTTATTCAATCACTTTTCTTTATCTAAACATGCCAAAATTATCAAAACAAAAATGTCATATGAAGTCATGATATCTCAAAGTAATAAAATCTGACAAATTTATAATCTGATACCTCAAATTGATCTTGAATCTCGTCCAAATATCCACAAAATTATTACTAATACACTTAATCATTCACGAGAAGAGAAAATCTTTAATAATATTCATGAAATGCCAGAACTACAAAAAAAAATGCGTTAAATCTAATTGAATCAATGCGAAATCCAAAAGAAAAGCATAAAAATGAAATTATTTCAGTCTATCTCCAAAAATAAAACCCTTGAATATATTACAGATAGTTATAAAAATCTAGTTGTTTTAAAAACTGAGAATGTGAACCTAAAATCAGAAAACCGAAAACTATTAAGGAATAATCAAAATTTATTACATAAAATTCAGTCTGTAAGTAGTTCAAATCGGTATCTCAGAAATAAAGTAGAAAAGTGAATTTCAACTATCAGGTCATTAATACACAAACAAAAGCAAATATCTAATGAAGAATTCAAACGCCAAATTAGTATATTATTTAAAACAAATAATTGAGAATATTCACCAAAAATGGTTTGGCTTTCAACAAAGATATCGCAAATTGGCCAAACTTCTTTAACCGTGACTGTTGAATTATTGTGACTAGTCTACGAATTCTTAATCGGAGAACCCCCACAAAGATGGTTATCTGCAATGACCCTAAGTACCTGGCATAAAGAAGTTTCACAAATTGAGACTGAAGCTGGAATATATAAGGCTTCACAATATTCACAGTATGGAATCCTTGTGGATGAATCAACTTGCGGAGAAAATAAATATTTTGTTGTATGTATAATGTTCTGGGATCATAAAAAAAATATTCCATTAGTAATTGTAACCAATCTTGAGGATTTACATAACTGTACTAGTCAATCAGTAGCAGACAGCACTCTCAAAGCAATTATGATCCACGGGCTTGATCTGAAAAAATGTTCAACGTGGGTAACAGATAACACAGCCTATATGTCGGGCAATAAGAAAGGCGTGATCGTTTAGTTTAATAAGAAGGCAAATGTAGATACAGTAAGAATCAGTTGTGGAATGCATATAATGCATATTGTTTTTTCAAATTTCGAAGAGGCATTTGGCAAGTTACCTTCCTTGATTGGATTCTCACGAATACCACAACCATATAATCTTCTATATTTGGCTTGGTACCTTCACAACAGATATAATTCGAGCAATAAAGGAAAACCTCTCAATATGAAGTCAGATTGGATTCAAAAAACTATATGATGGATTATTAGGGTATCATTTTTCCCAATATCAATTGCCAATTCAGTGTCGTTGAGATATGAATTACTTGCTACAAAACAATATTTAGCCTGTCGTGAAGCACACATAGAATTTGCCAATTGGTTCATTAAGGAACTTGAAATAATCAGAATACACCACCTGCATATCTTTCCGATTAGTAAATTTTTAATTACTATTCATAAACTTTTGCATGCTTATTTTAAATAGATCTATTAATAAGTTTTTTTATACTCACTAACTAGGCATTTATTTCGAGATTGGCTCTTAAACGAAAAACTAAACATTCAAGTTCAGTGTTTAGTTATATTTGGTAAGCACTTATATGAGCCTTTGATGCAATTTATGGTCGAAAGGAATCTCATACCTTGTATTCAAGAAGAAAACCATCTGGCTCAACTTCCACCTGGCCAACGTGCTCATGAAATGCCGAATAAAGTGAATGAGTGGTTAAAGTTTTTAGATGAACTCAGAGAAAATTTTGATATATTCTTTGGACAAGAACTACTAACAGCGCTTGAATCACTAAATAATGAAAACTTTAGTGAGTTCTTTGACAATTTGAAACAGGGGATGAACAAAGCATATAAAAGTTTTTTAAAATGGATGTCCCCATGGATCTATTTACCATTATCAATCTGCAGTTTAGATGAAAATTCAGGCCATGAATTCACCTGAGCATTCTATTATGTTGTTTTTCAACAGTGGCTTGTAGAACCAACAGAGTGTGAAATAAACTTAGCACATCGATTACGCACTGATTTTGAGATAACTAATAATACTTTCGGCCTTCGGGAAGAATTATTAGGTTCTTTAGAGTTTAGGAACAAGTTTCAAAACTTTTGTCTTACCCAACCTCTAAAATTTATGAATATCAGTTATTATATAAATTCGTTAAAGAATGAATTTACTTCATCGTAATCCACCAACAGCAGGTCGAAGGGCTCTTTAATAAACTAGATTTAAAGACCCACCCAAATATGATGCAAGACCTAAAGCAATCAAAATTACGACTTTTGTCTGGAGATATTGATGAAGAAAATATTGCTTTAGGACTTTTGAAAGTTCGTACAAACCGTAAAAAGCAATTAGTGGGATTAGTTCAAGACGGTGTAAAAATGCATGGGGAAGAAGAAGCAACTAAAATATTTTTAAATTTATATAAAATTTAAAGTCTGTCATAATCGCAATGTAATAAAAAAAAATTTTATAAATACGAATACACAGTAAAAGATTTTTTTATCGTTATCAAATATAAAAGTCAAAATCGGTGATCATCTCTAAAAAAAAAAATCTAATAGTAATTTTTATATGAGACTATACATATATTTGATCTACATAGTACATTGGACACCCCAATGGGATGTTACACGGGCAGAATTTTCGGAAGGTCGGAATATTTCGGAATTTAATAATTCTGGCCCGCATTAGCAGAAAACTACCATAATGCGAGCCTGCGCAATAGATTCAAAAAATCTTCGATTTTCCCAACTCTAGTCTTATCCTAATCTTAAACCCTAACTTATCTAACTTGAAATTTTTTCACTTAAATTGTATATATATATACAGTATTTACAAATTATACTCGTGTTTCATATTCCTACACTATTTACTAAATATACTATGTTTTTTAAAAGTTCGGCCCGCAATTTACTATGTTCTTAACACACCAGACCCGCAATTTTGAGAGATTTTTGAAAATTTCAAATTTCGTCCCGGACCGTGCAGGCCTCTACAACAAAATCTTAAGAAAATAAATTGCTATCAATATTATTGATACGGATCTCTTTACTTGGTTTAAGAATTTGATTGCTCTTAAAATTTTCAAACTTTGAAGTAATTCCTGTCGTATCAATAAGTTTAGATGTGTATACAGAATTTTCATGTTTTTGCACGATAATTGGTAATTCTTTAATTAATTTATCAGCTTCTAAAAATTGCTGTTCGATCTCCTCTTCCTCTTCATCAAAATTGTCCCCTTCGCCAAAATTATCCTCTATATCGAAATTATCCTTATCATCAAAATTATTATCATAATCGTAGTCATTATCGTAATCACTATCGTGATCATTATCGTAATCACTATCGTGATCATTATCGTAATCACTATTGTGATCACTATCGTGATCATTATCGTAATCATTATCGTAATCATTATCGTAATCACTATCGTAATCACTATCGTGATCATTATCGTAATCTTTATTGTAATCATTATAATCATCATTACTGAGAGATTTATTCCATTTTTTAAGTTTATTAAGAATCTCAACAGCAGTGGGTCTTTTATTCATATCTGAATCAACGCATCGTTTGGCCAATTCGACGTAACATTTTGGTGTTTTTATAAAAAATTCAGGTCGTGATCCGTGACAAATCATCACCACTAATTCAGCATCAAAATTGTATCCATCGAAAGGTCTTCGACCAGTTAATATTTCTATCATAATAATGCCAAAACTGTAAATGTCAGCAGCTTGAGTGAACTGTTCTCCTTTTAAAACCTCAGGAGCTAAATATGGTAAAACTCCATAAATATGACCATCCTGTTTTTCATCAACTGATATCGATGAACCTAAATCAATATAAGCTTTATATTGTTCTTTTAATAAAATATTGCCAGAATGCAAATCTCGATGTATAAATTTTTTAGAATGAATATTTGATAAATCGTTAATAATATCACATAATATTTTTAGTTTAATTTTCCACTCCAATTTAAATATATCTTTAAGATTTTCATGTAATGACCCAAATTTTGCGTAACTTAACACTAAAATAAAATCTCCGCTATTTTTATCCATTGATATGCCAAGATATTTCCCAAACTCATGATACGCTTTTAACTAAAAATAAACAAATTATATACACTCATTAATTTATAAACAATATAATTCACATGTAAATAAAAACAAAATACCTCGTTTAAAAAAAGTTTATTTTTATGCGAATCTTTTATTATCTTGATTGCAACTTTTTTATCTGTTTCATATCGATTTTTATATGGTGTTTTATACACTACGGAAAATCCACACCTACCTATTTCTTCAATGTTTCTAAAATTTTCGTATTCTATCCATCGGAAATAGTTATCATCACTACAATTGTGTTGAGTAATAGCAGATTTTAAATACCATTCAAATGCCAAATCTTTATTTATATCTACACCTATCCCATTCTGATAACAATAACCAACTTTATGCATTCCACAACAAAATCCACATTCGGCACTTTTTAAATAATATTCAAAGGCCTTTTGTTCATCATTTTCAACTCCAACTCCAGACTTATAACAACTTCCAACATTAAGCACCGCCCTAGCGTAACCCATCACTGCAGATTTTTGATAATAAATGAATCCCTTAATTTCATCCTTTTCAACTCCAATTCCATTACGATAACAATATCCAACATCATTTATTCCAACGACGTCCCCATCTCTGCAGATTTCTGATAATAAATAAATGCCTTATGTTCATCCATTTCAACTCCAATTCCGTAATAATAACAATCTCCAACATTATATATCGCCGGAGGGTTACCCATCTCTGCAGATTTTTGATAATAAATGAATGCTTTATTTTCATCCTTTTCAACCCATTTACCAAAACGATAACAAAAATGCAAGAATGCTTTGAGTCATAGGATCAGATTGATCATCTAAGCAATAGTTGATAATATTATCCGGCTTTTGCTTTTTTTTTACTAGAAATTGTTCTAATGCATCAATAATTGGTTTGAAACGTTTTCCTTTCAACCTTCTTTCAATATACAAATTATACATTTCTTTAATAATTTCATTAAGAAAATTCTGTGATTTATCTTCTAAATATGATTGGTTAACTTTGTTGGATATTTTAGCAATATCTAATGGATTGTCGGTTTTTTCTGGCCGTGACATTTTTACTCAACGCAAGAATATGTTACACATAGAATTACGTATTGAAGATATCTGATATGTCATTACGATCACGTTCCTTGTGTAACATGAAATGTGGGGATGGTTTCTTTCAACTCTAACTTTTTTGATGTTGCTGGTTTTTTGCAAAATCCTTTTTTAGGGGTCGTCTAAAGCCATGTACTCACGTGACTTTTTTGCGTAAATCAACCAACCGAATTGCGAAATTTTGTTTACACGGATCAGCCCACAGTCTTAACCTATCTTAGGGCACTAATTAAAAATGTCGGGAAGGAAATTTTACCTATACCCCTCTTTTTATATCAACACCAAACT